ATACATTTCCATGTAACATGTTGCTGTTTTTAGACTTTATTCACAACTTTTGTGTATCTGTAACTTAATGGGTAATTATAAGTCAGCCATTTTTTTCAAAATTATATTAATGTGTATTTTGTCTTATTTAGTGACTGAATTTGTATATTTAATGAATGTGGGAATAATTATAAGGTTGGGGAATTTGCAAGACTATATATATTTTTTGGGGGGGGGATATTTAGTAAATTTACTGAAATGAAGCTTAAATGATATAGAACTGAAAATATTATAAATCTATATACAATAGAAAGTGAATATAAATTAGCCAACTCTATGAACATTTCCAGGTAAGCACACATACAAATACATATTCACCTCTTTTATATAGGAATAACACATACATGCATGACAGTGATTCTGGCAAAAACATCTCAGATATTAAAAAATATTCATAAGTTTTAAAGATGGTGTGGAACAAGTTTTAACAACATTCTACATGAATGGAAACCTCTGATTTAATTCCAATAACTTTCATGCCAGAAGCATGGTTGGTTTTACTTTTTTAAAAAAAAAAAAACAGACCTTGGTATCATATACATTGGCTTATTAATAATTAAGGCAATTTATTTACATAGTATGTGGACAAAAAACGTTTAGTATTGATTATTTGCTATGATGTTTAAAACTTTCAAAGTCTTTCAACATAAGAAAATAGCTGCACACATTTGTTTTCTTATAAAACACAATCTTAAAAAAAGTAATGATGATTGGTCATTGCTTTTCTTAGTAATAAGTTTTATCTTATTTTTTCACATAGTATAAAGTATATTCTTATGAAGGATTGCATTGAGATCAGTAGTTCTTCAACAGTGTTGCCAAGTAACCATATAAATCCCAAATGCAGCAAAGATGAACAATCTTCATAGTGCACTTTCACCTTATTAAAGTTGAAGTTGCTCCTTTCGGATATTTTTCCACTTCAATGTGAAGTAGATTGTTAGGGTTTCATTAGTGGTTTCGTATGTGGCTTAAAAGAAAAAGGTTTTGATTTCTTCCACAGTTCACAGTTCTCCAATGAGACTTGTTTGGAAATCATATAGTCCAGGGATGTTTTGAATAACCAAATGCTCTTTAGTAGATGAAGTCTTCCAATGCAACTGTAATAAATAAGCATCTACATCCTTAGCTATATTACCAGTATATCCTGGAACCAAAGTAAGATGGTTTTCTTGTTCCCACAATCTGCTTAATTGTTGTTTTAAAATCTGAATATTTCCATCATTTATAATTTCTGTTTTGGATGATAGTTCTGACCACCACCTTTTTATGATTGCTTGAAGCCAGTTTAAACCAACTATTATATATTCTTCAAATTTGCTTTTAAGTAGTTACTGTACAAGAGGCAACAAGTCTACACAGCAGCTGAGTGAGATGTGTTGTTTTTCTTCCTGTAAACTATTGGTAAGCTCAGGAAGGCAATCCAACACCACTCCAAGGTCTTCTATCTTCACCAAATGAGTTATAAGTTCACTTATACTTCTCTTTTTCCAGAAAGATAAAGCTATATTCAAGCTCAAATTCCTGTTGAACAAAACTTGTGCCATTGTTTCATGATCCTGAGAAACCTCAGGAAAAACCCCACTGTATTTTGATGATGCGCTTTCTGTCTGTGAAGAACCAGAATCACTGGAGTTAAGCAAATTCGTTCGACTATCATGGTGTAATTTTTCAGGCAGGTGGCCTGCACAAGCCAGTTCATTTTCTTTATTTGCCATATCACAGCCCCCACTTCTAGGGGACTGTTCCTTTTTAAAACAAGAATTTGGAAAAGGATAATAAACTTACTTTCTGTGGTAGATCGCCTTACGCAGTTTATCTGGGCTTTTAACAGCCTGTCCAACTGTTCTAGTTATGTAAACAGCCAGCTGTTTTGGAGATTCTTAACCTCCTTCATGTTCTTAGTGAAATTACAGATAATTTTTCTAGGGTGATCAATGGAATGGTCCTCAATATTATTATAAAAGTTCTGTTTTTTTAACATTGTGGGTTTCAGATGCCATAATCTCTAAAATACTGGTGTCTCATGGTACTGTGGAGCTTTAGTCCAGCCCTGGCGCTGACCAACTGCGCCTAGAAGCCTAGAGAGCCCCCGGGCTCCTGGGCTGAGACTCACTCAGGGCCATTCAAATGCGGCCGCCAAGACCATACTTTCATAATCTATTGCCAGTGTTAGAGCAGTTTGGAGGCATTTTTTTTTAGCTTTATTCAGGCATAATTGACATACAATAAACTGTGCATATTTAAAGTCTAAATAATGCATATTTCTATCATTCCACTCCTCAATTTCTTCCTGCCCCTTTGTATTTTATTCCCCCTCAACTCACGCTGTCCCCCTGTCCAGGCACCCATTGATCTGCTTTCTGTCACTAGAGATTAGTTCATATTTTCTAGAATTATTTTTATAAATGGAATCATGTAGTGTGTTATTTTGTTGTGTGGCTTATTTCAGCATAATTATTTTGTGATCATTTGTGTTGTTACTTGTATTATTGCTGAGTAGTGCATTACTTATACTACAATTATATTGTACTACAATTTGTCCATTTACATGTTCATGGGTATTTGAGAGTGTCCTTTTATAAATCTTTTATGAGTATTTGTGGACATAGAAATTTATTTCTCTTGGATAAACACCTAGGAATGAAATGGCTGGGGCATATGGTAGGTGTAAGTTTAACTTTTAAGGAAACTGCCAGTTTTATAAAGCAGTTGTACTATTTTACATTTTATATTTACACCAGCAGAAATGGAAGAAAATGTGTTTTTAATGTTGGATTTTATAAAAAGAGAAAAGAGCCCTGGCCGGATAGCTTGTTTGGTTAGAGTGTCATACCAATGCACCAAGGTTATGGGGTTGATCTCCGGTCAGGGCACACTTGAGAATCAACCAATGAATGCATAAATAACTGGAACAATAAATTGAAATGCCTCCCCCCCTCCCCCCTCCCTCCCTCCTTCCCTCTCTCTTTTTTTAAAAAATATATTTTATTGATTTTTCACAGAGAGGAAGGGAGAGGGATAGAGAGTAAGAAACATCGATGAGAGAGAAACATTGATCAGCTGCCTCCTGCACACCTTCTACTGGGGATGTGCCCGCAACCAAGGTACATGCCCTTGACCGGAATCGAACCTGGGACCCTTCAGTCCGCAGGTCAATCAATGTTCCATCCACTGAGCCAAACCAGCCAGGGCTCACCTTCTCTTTCTAACATCAACCAATCAATAGAAAAATAAGTATTGCTATTTTTTAAAAAAGAGGAAAGAATTACTTCTTGTATTTGTAGAGTTCAGTTTTCTAGGTGAGTGCTAAGATGCAACAGAGCCTCGAATAACGTGGTTTCCTTCAACATCATTCATTTTATTATAACATTGATGAGATGCTATAGGGACTTAATGCTTGTTTATATTAACCTGTGGTAAAATTGGTTTCATTATATGTCATTTTGGTTAAAGTAGTAAAATAATGACAACATTAAGTGAGGACTTTCTGTACTGTGAATCAGACATTAGTTTTATATGATTTAATAAAATGAAGTGTAGAGTTTAAAGAAGTAATTCTGGAAATCTTTTATAAAATAGATTATGTAAGAAATTTCTTTGAAAAATCCCGTAAGTCATCCATAAGGTGCAGTGTTTAGACGTAACATCTCTCCCTAATTTCAATACACTTGCTCATTTTTTTTTCTCTTGAATTAAAATAAATTAATGTTTATTTACTTGCCCCAATGAAGTGGTTAGCTTTGCATTTAGGGGCTACACCTAATTAAAAATATGTAATTTAAAATAGTAGTATTTTATTCAGCTTGATGTGTAAGGCATGTGTGAACTGATATAAATTGAGGGAACAGCAGATTTATATCTCATGCTCACTCTGGGTCATAAGCATACATTTTATTGAGAGGAATGGTGGGTGGAGTGGCCTGTATCACTTAAATTATTTTTCTTTTTGCTGTATGTAAATAGTTGCATTCTCATAAATTAAATGCATATGTGATGTGATTGCGTTATGATTATGGTAACAGCTGAAGCTGAATGCAGAAAGAGGTTATGTGCATATTAAGAGTAGGGTGGCTGATAGGTTTGTTAAGTCATTGTTCATGGGCCCTTTTTAGTTTTCCATAATAGGTTAGTAAGGATAAGTAGACATCATTAGCACCTATTCAGTGCTTCTTCCTTTCATTTTCCTGCTCTGCCTAGATCGTCTATTTTCTTCTTTTTACTTGTGTTATCTACACTCCCTTTTTATGTCCTCAACTCCTTGGTATTCACTCATCTCTTTAGAATCAGTAGTATACCTGTTTTCCCTTTAGAATGCTACCAAAACCCATAAACATAAATCAGTTGTACAATTATATTTTGTAGCTTTGTTGTGTATATAAAATAAACTGCAAAGTGGTTCTAAAAATGCTGGTCTAGGCTGGTGCCATTTTGGGGCTTAGCCCATCTGATATCCAGATTACCTAATAAATTTATAATCCCTTAACAAAATAATGGTGGTCTACTTTTATGAACTTATTATCAACATTCCAGATTACTTCTGCATAAAACATTTAAAAAAAAACCCTCTTTATTTGTCTAACTTGTAAAGTGCACTGTTTCATTTTTATATTTTGCTAAGAGTTAAAAATGTGGATCTCTTTCACTAGCCTGATTAATTAAGAACTGATAGAAGGAAGTTTACTTGACTTAGTGTCATAGGTCCTGGGCTCCAGCACAGTCTTGTCATTATTAACTCACTATGTAATTTTGGGAAAGTAACATTTCTCATCTATAAAATGTGGGGAATGGACTTGATCTTAAAAATTTTAAAGATTTCCCTCTGGGGCAGGAGAACCAAACTTGTAAAAGAAGTTGTTTTTAAAAATAGTTTTATCTTATAAGTCACCCCTGAAGTTTAATGGCTTTACTAGAAATTATGTATAATCACTTTTGAATTTTGTATATCTCGTCTGTTGCAGGATGCTTTAATCTGGATCCCAATAGAGTTTTGGATGTCATTTTAGAAGTGTTTGAATGCAGGCCAGAACATGATGACTTCTTTATATCTTTATTAGAATCTTACATGAGTATGTGTGAACCGCAAACACTGTGTCATATTCTTGGGTTCAAATTCAAGTTTTACCAGGTAACAAAATATGTGTGTGTATCTATATCTATCTGTATCTATAGGTTAATTTCATGATTTTATATGTACAATTTAATATGAATTTTATTTGTAAATGATAAGTTTCAGCTACACCATTCTGCCAGAAGAAATAGATAAATGGATAGCTAACAGTGAGGTGTAATAAGTACTGTATTAGTAATATGAATGATGTGATGTGAAAGTCTAGAGGAAAGCATAATAAATATTTTGCTTTGGGAGAGATGGAGTTAGGGAAGATTTTATAAATAATAAACTTTTAAAAACCTGTTACTTGAAGGATGAGTAGGAGTTTGTTGACAGTTGTTAGTGCAGAAGTAATAAATAGTGTGAGAGTGAAGACATAACAGTATGAGATTGAAGAAATGGTATATAGTCATATGTGGCTGGATTGTAAGATGCGGAGAAGAGACAGGAAGTGAAGTTGGAAAGGTAGGTGCACTTTTGATGGTTTAGAGTCTTAAATACTGTGTTGAGTTAGAATTTTACTGTGTAGACAGTGAACATTGGTTAATTTTCACTTAAACCACTACAGTAGTTATCTAGTAAATCTGTGCCTCTGATTATTTCTCTTTCAATCCATCTTTCATATTATTACTGTTACATTCTAAAAGAGATCTAATTGATACACTGCTCAAACACATTTGCCTGGAGGATGACATTTAAACTTACAAACATGGCAGAAAAGGCTAGTCACAATCTAGCTCCATTCTTTCTTTCCAGCCTCATCTTTAGTGATTTCCCCCCTCAAATCTGATATTCTTTTTTTGAAAAATATATTTTACTTATTTTTTACAGAGAGGAAGGGAGAGGGATAGAGAGTTAGAAACATCGATGGGAGAGAAACATCGATCAGCTGCCTCCTGCACACTCCCCACTGGGAATGTGCCCACAACCAAGGTACATGCCCTTGATCGGAATCGAACCTGGGACCCTTGAGTCCGCAGGCCGACGCTCTATCCGCTGAGCCAAACCAGTTAGGGCTCAAATCTGATATTCTAGTGATATTAAAGTAATAGCCATTTCCCGAACTAAGGTATAGACATTGCTGTGTATAGACAGACCTTTGTTTACAAGCAGTTTCTTAAACTAAAAAAATATTCTTATGCAGCCGTCTTACCTGTCTTGGTCTTAATCTTGTGAACTATTTATTCTTTAAGATCAAATGCTACTTGCTCTATAAAGTCTTGGCTGATAGTTCAGTTATGCAGAATTAGTAACTTCTTGATCTCTCTTTTCATGAAATGTGACATAGACTTCTGGCACTTACCAGGTATATTAGAATATTAGAATATTAGAATAAACTATGTCTATCTCCTTTGCCAGATTGTGAGTCATTTAAGGCAAGGTCTATATTTTACTAATTTCTCTTGATTAATTTACTGCATAGTCTATAGTAAATGCTCACTAATTATAAATGAGTAGTCTATCTCTTGATAGCATGGAGGATTTTAATGTAATAAGGCCTCCATTATTCTTTTGTTATATCTTTCTTAATTTGTCTACTTGGATTGGGGTACTCAGCTAGTCAAGAAATACTCAACAGTGGTTCTCAACCTTCTTAATGCCGTGACCCTTTAATACAGTCCCTCATGTTGTGACCCCCAATTTCATTGTTACAAATTGAACATAATTAAAGCATAGTGATTAATGACAAAAACAATATGTAATTACATATGTGTTTTCCGATGGTCTTAGGCAACCCCTATGAAAGTGTCATTCAACCCCCAAAGGGGTCGCGACCCACAGGTTGAGAACCGCTGGTTTATGATATGCTGTTGCTTTGCTAGGCACTGAGGAGTCTCTGGTGGGGCATGTCTATTCCTGTCCTCTGGAGCTCAAGTTCAGGATAGTAAGACAATTTCTTTTAGCATTCTCAAGTGATATATGACCTACTGCCTCTGCTTGTCTTTTATTTTTCATAATCTGGGATGCTCCAGAATAGAAATCAGATCAGAGCTTGAAAGCATATAGCTTTTTGATACCAAATAAGACACATGGTAGGGTTTTTGGGCAAGAGTACTTCACCTTTGCTTAAAAATTAGTGATGACAGCTGTTCCTGTTCCTACCAGAAACCAGGGAGTCCACTGTTAGTACAGGGAAGGAGAAGTTCAAGTATTTCATCACATTTTAAGAGGCACCATGATAGCTTTGGTTTTAAGAATATGAAGCCAACTGCTAAAGTGACAGGGTAACTGAAATTTAACTTGGGTGGGATTACTTAGAATATAGGTTAGGGTTTTGGAGACTGTAGGTTTCAGAGCATAGTGCAGTGAGTAATAACCTACTGCATAACATCAAGTATTACTTGTTAAATGTGAATTTTAGAATTAAATTTGTATATGAAAATATTCCTCATGGTAGTAACACTTTTTGAGCTGAATTATAATATCCCTAGGGGTTGACAATGTTGGAATAATCATCCTTTTTTAAAAATAGTGGGCCGTTTTATTATATAAGAAATACCCAACCATGAAACATTTGATTTAGAAGTAACCTATTATTGGAAAGAGTAACCCTCATATTGCTCTGTATAAAACTATTGCCTTTTTTTTCTATTGCCTGAGCTATCTTATTGTTGTGAGAATCTGTAGTCTTAAGGACCACTAAGGGCAGGGGAAGAAATGTCAGAGATTTAAGGTAATTTGTGGTCTTGGAGGTAAAATAAGGATGGCTATGGAAATCAAGAGCCTCTTAGAGAATGTAACCCTGGGAATTGGTTCCTAAGCCCGTATGGTCACTCTTTATGCTAGTCCTTTATCTTACTCTACCCTCCCTTCTTTCAATCACTACCTGGTAATGTTCACTCCTCCTGCCTGCAACCCATATTTTTACCAGTTGGGACTTATTTGGATTAGCAGGCTGCTGCACCTCCAGTGCTTCTGACTTGGAAGTATGGTAAGAGATGAAAGCAATTTAAGAGCACATGATCATTTTGGAAAGTTAGGCAGTCATATCTGCTTGATCCTCCTAACAGGGATTGCTGTGATAGAGGATTTAGGGGCAGCACAAAGGACAGGCAGAATGGAGTACTAGAAAGTGTGAGGGTACCAAAAGACAAACTTGGCTGGAGTTGTCTTGCCACAGGAAAGAGGAAAGTGGTTGTGACTCTCACCCATATCACAGCTCCTTGATTTGTGGATTCAAAATACAGTAGTAGTAACAGTGATACCATGATTAGGTGCTATTATAATCTAAATTCATTAATTTGAGAAATATTGATTGAGCACCTTTTATGTAGTAGGTAATGTTCTAGGTCAGGGGTGGGCAAACTTTTTGACTCGAGGGCCACAATGGGTTCTTAAACTGGACCGGAGGGCCGGAACAAAAGCATGGATGGAGTGTTTGTGTGAACTAATATAAATTCAAAGTCAACATCATTACATAAAAGGGTACGGTCTTTTTTTTCAATAGTTTTATTCATTTCAAACAGGCCGGGCCCGCGGGCCGTAGTTTGCCCACGGCTGTTGTAGGTGCTGGGGCTACACCTAAACAAATATAAATTCTTGCCTTCTTGATGCTGACATTCTAAGCAAATTATATGATACGCTAGAAGTTGATCAGTAAGATGGGGCAAAAAAATATAGAGCAAGTTAAGGAAGATTGGGAGTGCTGGAGTTGTTGGTTGCAATTTTAAATGGAATAGTGAGAGGAGACCTCATTGAGAAGATGAGACTTAACCAAGAAATGAAGGATGTGAGGGTGTAAACTGTACAGATATCTGGAGAAAAATCTTCAGGCAAAGAGAACAGCCAAGGAAAGAAAGGCCTCAAGGTGTGAGCATGCTGATGTGTTGAAGAACAGCAGGAAGACTAGTGTAGCTGGATCAGAGTGATTTGAGTGGGAGAGCGGTAGGAGATGAGGTCAAAGAAAAGGGACTATATATCAGATCACACAGAGCTAGTACAAAGTTTTTTATTGTGATGTTTAGTGAAGCCAGTGGAGGATTCTGAATAGGAGAGTGATGTGATCTGACTTAGGTTTTTCATTTTGTTTCTTTTTACTTTTTCACTTTATTAACATTTTCAAACATATAGGAAAGAGTGTATAATATAATAGATGCCCATAACTCCTTCACCTAAAAGTAAGTTTAGTAACATGTTGGTATACTTTTTTGAAAATATTAATTTATGTTACAGATACCATGAGTGCTTACTCCTCAATGTGTTAGTTTGTACTTTCTAAAAGTAAGGGCATTTTTCTATTTAACCATGATCCATATACCAATTTCATACTTAACTAGATTGCTATCATATAATAAACCCAAACCATATTCATTTCTCAAATTGCCCCCCCCCCAATGCATTTTACAGCTGGTCTGGTCAAATGATGATCCAGTTAAAGACCACACATTGTATTTAATTGTTAGAATTCTTTTTTGTTTTTTAAATATATTTTATTGATTTTTTACAGAGAGGAAGGGAGAGAGATAGAGAGTTAGAAACATCAATGAGAGAGAAACATCGACCAGCTGCCTCCTGCACATCTCCCACTGGGGATATGCCTGCAACCAAGGTACATGCCCTTGACCGGAATCGAACCCGGGACCCTTCAGTCCGTAGGCCAATGCTCTATCCACTGAGCCAAACCGGTTTCGGCTGTTAGAATTCTTTTAATTTACAATAGTATCTCCCCTTTCTTTAAAGGTATCAACTTGTTGAGGAAACTATTCCCATAGAAGACTCCACCTTTTGAATTTATCTAATTGCTTTTTCATGGTTGATTTAATTTTTTTGTCCCCTGTCTTTCTCATATACTCGGAGTTAGGTCTAAAGGCTTGACTTGATTATGTTCAGGCAAAAATACTTCATGGGTTGTACATTATGTTTTATATTGTATAACATCCAATATCTGTCTGGCTTTTAATGTTCCAGTAAGTTAATGACAGTCTAATCCTTCCATTATGCAATGACATTTCCTCCCTTATCAGTAGCAGGTTATCTGCAAGTTGATACTTGGGTACCATGTAAAACCCACTTTTTCATCAACCTTACGTTAAGTGATTTAGAATACATGGATGATCCTTTCCTGAGTCAATTAATTCCTTAAAGTTTCAAATTATTGATTTACTAATTTTATCATGCCTTCTAAATTTATTAGCTGTCATTCTTCTATAAAGAAGAGTTATCCCTTGTCAAGTTGGATTGTTTGGTTGTCCTGAAATAAAGTTATACTGGAAAGGCAGGACAAATGCTTTAATTTTTTTCCTATTCATTACTTGCTATTAAAGTGAGGAATTTCTTTAGTAGCCACTTCTAATGGTTGCATGAGCAGTGTGTGTGTGAGAGAGACAAAAAGAGAAAGTGCATTTGTATTTTGACTTAGGTTTTTAAAGAATCGATATGGTTATAGTAGCAATAGAAGTTGAGTTTCTGAATATATTTTGAAGGTAGAGCCAATAGTATTTACTGATGGATTAGGTACAGAATGTGAGAGAGTAGAGTTAAGGACGTTTTTGGATCAAGGAACTAAAACAACGTTGTTATCAACTGAGGGTAGATTTCAGGTAAAATAGATTTGGAATGTTATTGGTAGGAATTAAATTTTGGACATGTTAAGTTTGAGATGTCTGTTAGATATCCAAGTGGAGATGTTGAGTAAATAACTGGATGTATGGATCTGGTATTCCATGGAAAGGACTGGGTTAGACTAGAAATGTGGGTGTCAAAAGTGTATAGATGATACTTAAAATTGTGATACTGGATGAAATCATCAGGGATTGGTTATAGAGAGACAAGAGAATGCTGGGCTTCTTGTCCCAGCATCAAGAAGGGTTCAGGAATCTGGAGAAGGGGCTGTGCGTAGATGACATAGGAATCCAGAGACTAATAAAGAGTCTGGAAACAAAATATAATTTTGAAAGGCATTGGGGGTCAGAGGAGCTTAGCTAAAGGAGCTAAGTTCTAAGATCTTAAGCTGATTTCTCTTCGGAAGGTAGTATGAAGGCATATATGCTGAAAGAATAAAACTGTCAACCAAGAATTCTAAATCCAGCAAAACTATCCTTCAAAAAAATGAGAGATTATGTTACTCCAAGATTAACAAAAGCTGGGGGAGTTCATCACTAGTAGATCTGCCCTACAAGAAATGCTAAAAGTAGTCCTTCAGGCTGAAATGAAAGGCCACTAGACAATAACTTGAAGCTATATGAAGAAATAAAGTACACTAAAGTAGCTATAGGTAAATATAAAAGCCAATGTTGTGTTTTTTGGTTTGTAGCTCTTCTTTTTTTTTCTATGGCTTTTTTTTCTATGGCTCAAAAGGAATTGCCCTAACCGGTTTGGCTTGGTGGATAGAGCGTCGGCCTGCAGACTGAAAGGTCCCAGGTTTGATTCCGGTCAAGGGCATGTGCCTTGGTTGCGGGCACATCCCCAGTGGGAGCTGTGCAGGAGGCAGCTGATCGATGTTTCTCTCTCATTGATGTTTCTAACTCTCTATCCCTCTCCCTTCCTCTCTGTAAAAAATCAATAAAATTTACTAAAAAAAAGACAAAGGAATAAAACTATAATTATAAATTGAATCAACACACAAAGTGTAACTATAAAAGAGGGAGGGATAGAAATGTATAGGTGCAGTTTTTGTGTACTATTGAAACTAAGTTGCTATTAATTCAAATTAGGTTATTACAAGTTTAAAATGTTAATTGTAATAATACCCAGGGTAACTACTAAGAAAATAAGAAATAAACAGAAAAGGAAAGAAGGAAATCAAGATGGCATACTACCAAAATAACACAAATGGAGTCAGTAATAGAGGAAATTAGAAATAAAACCTGGTATGAGACATATAGAAAACTTAGCAAAATGGCAGAAGTCCTTCCTTGTTAGTAGTTATTTTAAATGTAAATAGAATAAACTGTAATTAAAAAGACAAGTTCAGCAGAAGTTATAAAAAACCATGATCCAACTGTATGCTATCTGTAAGAGACTCACTTTAGATCCAAAGATACAAATATGTTGCCCTGACTGGTTTGGCTCAGTGGATAGAGCATCAGTCTGTGGACTCAACGGTCCCAGGTTCGATTCCAGTCAAGGGCATGTACCTTGGATGCGGGCACATCCCCAGTAGGGGGTGTGCAGGAGGCAGCTGATCGATGTTTCTCTCTCATCGATGTTTCTAACTTTCTATCCCCTCTCCCTTCCTCTCTGTAAAAAATCAATAAAATATATTTTTTAAAAAAAACCCCAAAAAACAACAACAACAACAACAACAAAAAAACAAAGATACAAATATGTTCAAAGTAAAAGTATGGAAATACCTATCTCATACAAACAGTATCCAGGAGAGAACTGCGGTGGCTATTCCAATATTACACAATCTAGACTATAAGATAAATTTTTTATAGTAGACAACAAAGAACATTATATATTGATAAAACTGTCAACCCATCAAGAAGATACAGCAGTTATAAACACACGTGCACTAAACAGAGCCTCAAAATATGTCCAGCAAACATTAAAAGAGTTGAAGGGGGGGAAATAAACAGTTCTATTAAATAATTGTTGGACATTTCTATGCCCCACTCTCATTAATAGAACAATGAGACAGAAGGTCAGTAAGCAAATAGAGCACTTGAACTCTATAAAACAACTAAACTTAACACACATATATAGAACACTCCATCCAGTGATAATAGATTACACATTATTCTCAAGTGCATATGGAACAGTCCCTAGGTTAGACCCTATTAGAGACCACAAAACAAGCCTCAATTAATTTAAAGCATTGAAAGCATTAAAAAAAACCTTATTTGACAACAATTAATGAAAACAGATCACAGCAGTTGTGTAGGATAGTGAGTAATAGGAAATTAAGAGCTGGCTGAGCTTTAGAGAGGGTGAGTAGTCTGGAAACAACTATAAAAAAGCAAAGACGACTTGTACCCCACCTCTGAGCCTAGTAGTTATTAAGGGTCTGGGGAAAATACTAGTAGCTACCATTTGACTGGGCTACAGTGGGTGTGGTATTCCTAGGGAGTGCTAGGCTCTAAGCATGAAAGTGGAGGGAATAATTAGAGGAGAGGTAGGGGGCTTTGCTGAGAATGGATCATAAATTCCAGAGGATTCCATAGAAGACTTTCAAGAATGCAGAAAGGTGGGATAGTACAGAACAGGATTGTGCAGAGCAATATGAGGATCAGAGTGTGGAAGTTGACATTTGGCCTGGTGGTTGGGGATTCTGGTAGTGACTCATTTAAACAGAGGTAATAGGAATAATGAAAGCATTCCTGATCATCTTTTGTTTTTATGAGAAAATGTCTTGATACTAAAGAACCTTTTATAAATATTTAGAATTAAACTTAAGTTGAAAATTTACCTTTCTTAAAAATTACAGTGATACAGTGCCTTCTTTATATAACATCTATTAGTTTGATTAGCTTCATATGTTATGTGCATAATACCTATAGCAATTGTAGGGGGAGTCTTACAAATATATCATTTTCAGTGTTAAATAGAAGCAGAACATAATATATTGTCACTGTTTGCTTTTTATTTGCATTTGGCCATTTAGTAATTGTTGGTTTTCCTCACTTTACTCATCCATTCATCTGACCTCCAATAGTTTAAAAATTAGGGAAAAATCTTTTCGATAGCATTTAAAGATCCTTCTATGTCTTTGAAGGGTTTACTGGACTGGCCTTAATTGGCCATTCCACATTTTATTTATTTATTGTTGATTTATTCATGTGTAATATGTATAGACACCTGTTTTTGAGAAGAAATCAGCTGACAAGCACATATAATTAGCACAAAACCCAAGAAATGAAAAGAGTAGGGAAAATAGTATAAAAGCAGACACAGATGGTTCTACACTCCCATGTTTGTCAGTCTTGTTTCTGTGTTTCCACTGAGAACTACTTGGAAAAAGCAAGTTAAGAAAACACACATATAAATACATTCAAACTAAATATTCAGTATAAAATCTCTCTATTCTATTCAATTTTTAGATTTTATTCAAATATTAGCATGCATTGTAAAATGTGTCTATTTTCAAAACTTCTTTCTTTGAGTTCATTAAAAGATGCTTCAATGTGGAAAGGGATGTAGACATACTTCTCTTTGTCCTGAATTCAGATGTTATGTATGCCCAGGAAGAGCAGTGAAGCTTATTGTTGAACAAGAGTTATTTGAGCTAATTTTTCTTAAATATTGGTAAAGGATATGATTTTAGTTGTAATTTATGCACTAAATAGAAACTTTTATTTTTCAAGGAACCAAGTGGAGAGACTCCTTCATCCTTATACAGAGTTGCAGCAGTGCTTCTACAAGTTAATCTTATTGATTTAGATGATCTTTATGTACATGTAAGTCAAGTGGGCTGCTCAGAATCTTTGGTTGTTCATTCCAGGGGTGGGGGAGAGGACTAGGCAGCCATATAGCACTCTAAGGTTGGTCCTAGGCTCTCATATCTTAATTTTTGAAGCCCTAATGCTTTATTACTTTGTGTTTATAAAGTAAATGACTTTAATTCTTTTATAAAGTATGGAAATCTGATATCTTTTGTTACCCATACAGAGTTCAAGGTTGGATATGAAGTTAAAGTTCTTAATTGTTATCAAGGCATTACACATGGAGAGAGAGGCCAAGTTCTAACCAATGTGGTTTTAGACTTCTCCATTATACACAAATTATGGGAAGTATGGGATTACCTAGATACTTCTTCCTTCTCTCCAAAATGTTAATTTTTGGCATTCAGGATGTATGGAGAAGTCTTCACATGTTTTTTAAAAATGGCTTTTTTTGTGTTTTAACTGGGTAATAAATGACTAGTATTGTGCTTATATTGTTGGATCCAGGATGTAGAAGAGTATGTATGTGAATTTGATTAATGATCTCTAATGTAGCAACAGTTTAGCCTGTCAGTTTGTAAAAACTAGGTTTGTAGCATAGAACTTTGTTTTATTATGTTTTGTATTAGGATATCTATGGACTTAAAACAAACCTGTCCAATGCTGACATCATCTTTACTGCCTTTGAGATCACTTTGTATCTTTCTTGCCTATCCTATATAATAAAGAGGTAATATGCAAATTGACTGTCATGCCCTTGCACAAGATGGCCACCCCAAGATGGTCGGCAGTGGAGGGCAGTTGGGGGTGACCAGGCCTGCAGGGTAGGGCAGTTGGGGGTGACCAGGCTGGCAGGGGAGGGCAGTTAGGGGCGACCGGGCCAGCAGGGGAGGGCAGTGGGGGGGGGAGACCAGACCTGCAGGGTAGGGCAGTTGGGGGTGACCAGGCTGGCAGGGAAGGGCAGAGGGGGCGATCGGGCTGGCAGGGGAGCGGTTAGGGGGTGATCAGGCTGGCAGGAGGAGCAGTTAGGGGCAATGAGGCAGGCAGGCAGGCAAACGGTTGGGAGCCAGCAGTCCCGGATTGTGAGAGGGATGTCCGACTGCCGGTTAGCCGGACATCCCCTGAGGGGTCCCAGATTGGAGAGGGTGCAGGCTGGGCTGAGGGATACCCCCTCAGTGCACGAATTTCATGCACTGGGCCTCTAGTCATTATTATATACTACTAGAGGCCCAATGCATGAAATTCATGCAAGAGTAGGCCTTTGCAGCCCCTGCTGCCTTGGCTCTCGCAGCCTGGGCTTTGTCCGGACAGTCGTTCTGCTGTTTGGCCATTCATTTGATTTGCATATTACACTTTTATTATTATAGATGGTTGCAGATCAAAAAAACTTGATTTCTACCTTGGAAGCAGTCATAGTCTAGAAAGAGAGATAACATTTTGCATTATATAATAAGAATTATATTGGAGGTATTTACATAGTGCTGTGGAAGCTCAGAAGAGATAGTGATCATATCTGTGTGGGGGCATTTTGGGAGGTTTTTTTCAAACTAGTGATGTCGAACTGGGATTTTGATGATCAGTAAGTGTTGGCCATGCTTAAAAAGGTGGAAAGTTTTATAGGCAGAAATAACTGAGTATAAAGACAAGAAGTTTGAAAGGGCTTCATTATCACTTTAGGTTGGGGTGGGGAATATCCAGCCCCTGTAAAGCCTGTGAAATCATTTGGTCTGGCCCTGCCAAAGCATTAGGGGTGTGTTAATTAAATGTTTGACCAAATATAGCAGGCTAATTTTTAAGTTGATAATTTTGTGTGGTGGGAGAATGATGCCAAATGGTCCTTGGCAGAGAAAAGGTTCCCCATCCCTGTCATAGGGGAACATTGGAAGCTCAGAGTGATTAGAGCTCAGGGTGGTATATAGGGGTGATGAGGATGGACAAATAGGTTGGGACTAAACTGTGAAGGACCTTAAGTGCCATAGTAAGGTGTTTGTGTGTTTTTTTTTTTTCTTGTTGGGAGTAGAGAGCCATTCAAAATTTAAAGTAGAGGAATGTTGTACAAACTGAGAACATGGAGAATTGGTCAGAAAAAGGAGTTTGAAAACATAGGTATGAGTTTATAGTGTGGACTGGCAGGACAAATGGAAACTACAAAAAATTGATAGATTTATTGCTGATATGTTTGAGTTTAACATTAAATGGTGACAGACTAAGTGTTCCTGTTAAGGTGACAAAGATTTTCAGACAGGATTAAAAACCAGTTTATTATTTACATGAGACTTCTAAAATTGAAGGATAAAGAAAGTTTGAAAGTAAAAGGGTGGGGAAAAATATACCAGGGAAATTATTATTAGATAAAATAGACTTTTTGGCAAAAAGAGATAGTCACTTCATACTAATAAAGTTGTATTCACTAGGAAGATGTAACTTTTTTATTTTTTAAATAGATTTTGATTTCAGAGAGGAAGGGAGAGGGAGAGAGAGATAGAAACTTTCAATGATGAGAATCATCAATTGGGTGCCTCCTGTATGCCCCCTACTGGGGACTGAGCCTGCAACCTGGGCATGTGCCCTTGACTGGAATCAAACCTGGGTCCCTTCAGTCTGCAGGCTGACACTCTATCCCAGTGTTGGCGAACCTATGACACACGTGTCAGAGGTGACACGTGAACTCATTTTTTTGGTTGATTTTTGTTAATTGGCATTTAAATATATAAAATAAATATCAAAAATATAAATCTTTGTTTAACTATGGTTGCAAATATCAAAAAATTTCTATATGTGTCACGGCACCAGAGTTAAGTTAGGGTTTTTCAAAATGCTGACACGCTGAGCTCAAAAGGTTCGCCATCACTGCTCTATCCACTGAGCAAAACTGGCTAGGGCAGTTTTTGCTTTTTATATGTGAAAATAGTATTAGCTGTTTTATGAAATTTTAATGAATCATTTTTAGCTTCTTCCAGCTGATAATTGCATCATGGATGAACATAAACGAGAAATTGTGGAAGCTAAGCAAATTGTTAGAAAACTTACAATGGTTGTATTGTCTTCTGAAAAAATGGATGAGCGAGAGAAAGAAAAGGAAAAAGAAGATGATAAAGTAGAAAAGGTATATAGTTCATTCTAGTAAAGTTAACATTGTTTTCTGGATTTGGAATCATGAAATTAACTTGTAATAGTTAATTAACTTATATAAATTTTTTTTCCTAATTTTGATTGTGGTGAAACATGATTTTTGGAATAAGAATTTACAAAGGTGGTTTTGCTTTTAATTTGATTGTTGCCTTCCCAAAAGAGGCTGCTATGTTTTTTTAATATAAATTTCAAAATGTATTCTAAGTAAAATCACAAATGTATTGACTATTTGTGCTATGCATATTAATGTCTCTCAAGTCCTAAAGGGATTCTCACAGAATGAATGAATTCTGTGGCCCAATAAAACATTAAGTACAACTCAATATAATTCTGAGTCTGTAAACTGTCATACTGCATGTGCTAAATGAAAAAGCAAATCCTTTTGGTTGTACTTAGAGGAAAATACCGTTGAATTTCCCACAAATGGCAGTTGTTGTTGACATACATTGTTGTGTGTTTAGCCCACGTTTTTAAATGAAAAAAAAAAATTAAGATTTATTGGTGTTCATATTCTGAGTATCTTTGCTGTAATTATTCATTTGTAGCCACCTGATAACCAAAAACTTGGTTTGTTGGAAGCCTTATTAAAGATTGGTGATTGGCAGCATGCACAGAACATTATGGATCAGATGCCTCCATATTATGCTGCTTCGCATAAGCTAATAGCTCTTGCTATTTGCAAGCTCATTCACATAACTATTGAGCCTCTCTACCGAAGGTATGTTACTGTATGCTTTATTAATCATTGAGGTATAAATAGTTTCGGACTATGACAAAATCTGCATATTTATCTTGTCTCCTCAAACCATGCATTTATTTTAGTGTGTTTTATCAGAAGATAATAATTTATAGTGTATTAGTCTGATATGTCTTAATCAGTGATTTGTCTCCTAATGTCATTGGAGAATGTATGCTGCAATATACTCTAAAAACTGTAGGTTATACTTCTAGGCTGGGTTTGCTCCTTTGAGAGTAAAGACTCCATTCTTCTGTTTTTCACTTTCCCCTCCTCTTTTAGGGGCAGAGAATTCCTAAGGCTTTTACTTAGTGTAATTTTCTTCTATCCTGGGTTGAGTAGCTCTCAGTGAGCACCTTGCTTCTCTGCTTGCCTTATCTCTCCCAGCAAATAGGCTGCTGTTCTGGAAATTGATAGTGCAGCTTCTCTCACTCTCCCTAGTTACAATGTTGACCAGTCCTCTAGCTCAGCCTACTTTTTAGGATACTTAAGAGCAGTAATGGCAGCAGTTCTGGCTTTAGTCCCACACATCAGAGCCTGCCTCAAAAGCTCCAGCTTTGTGATTCATGCATAGCTGCTGGCTGCTGCCTTTAGTGCCACCTGGGTTGTGGACCATGAAGGTTTCTTCTCAGAGACTGACCCCTGTGACTCCACAGTGGGATACCTGCTCAGCAGGTGAGAACTCCGGGTATGCTGTCCTTTTTAGTGTACCCTCTTTCATTATGGTGCTCACTTTCTCTTTCACCAAACCTACCTCATACGTGGTCTAAATAGTGGAACACAGATTGAGAAATGTTTATTGACTTGAATCAGTGTTCTATTCATATCTTCTTGTTTCATCCCCACTGTCTCCGAGGTCCATCCTTTGTTCCCCATTCCCATATGCATTTTGAGTTTTTTTTTAAATTGTTTGCGGGTAGTTTTTATTGCGCGCTAACAGGTGGCGCGGGCCATTTTTGCCAATTTTTTGTGCAAATGGCAACGTTCAGTAAAATTACAATAACTTTAGTTTACGTATTTATACGTTACCTGCATTCTACCGCTAGTCTATAAAAAATGTATTAATACGTGTCCCGCGCTCTACTACACTGGTAGAACGTATAAATATGTAAAACGTATAAATACGTTTCCCGCATACAATGTGTTAATGCTCTTTCAAGGATATGTTTTTTATTGGTTTTAGAGGAAGAGGGAGAGAGAGAGAGAAACATTGATCTATTGCTTCCTGTACACGTGCCGACCAGGGATCGAACCCACAGCCTGGGCATGTGCTCTGACCAGAATCAAACCCGCCACCTTTTGGTGTATGGGATGACACTCCAGCCAACTGAGCCACACCAGCCAGAGCTCCCATATACATTTTCCTGATACTGGCTGAGGTTAACTAAAAAAATAATTCATATGATGTATGTTAAATGTTACTTGGAATCTGCAGTTCTCTGATTTCCTTTTCTTATGCAGTTAATGTGAAACATTCTCTTCTGAGCTCTGATCTTTTTCAAGTGAATATTCTTTTTGTCTTTTTCTACCAGTTAAATTAGCTGGTATAATAAAGTTAGGCACAATAGAAATATAGAAAGAAAGTATGAGCAAAATTGTTTTACTTTAAGTTGAAATGAGGTATTATACAGTATACATATAAATTTTGCTTCTTTTTATAGAGTTGGCGTTCCTAAAGGTGCTAAGGGCTCACCTGTTAATGCTTTGCAAAATAAGAGAGCACCAAAACAAGCAGAGAGCTTTGAAGATTTGAGGAGAGATGTCTTCAATATGTTCTGTTACCTTGGTCCTCACCTTTCTCATGATCCCATTTTATTTGCAAAAGTGGTGCGCATAGGCAAATCATTTATGAAGGAGGTTAGTAAGTTTTTTTTCTTTCAAGTAGAAAATTAAATTTTGAAATGCGTATATTTGTGTTATGTGTATCTCTAGAAATAAAAGAAAATGAACTCTGAGAAAAGGTTATATTGAGTAAGGTTTGTGGAAAGTCCATTGTGTCGTAACCATTTGTATTTTTATGTATATGTATATGTATATGTATATGTATATGTATATGTATATGTATATGTGTCTATATACACACATAGATATATAGATACAATTATATAGAGTATATGTATATCTATATAATTATATCTCTATTTTTATCTTTACCTAAGTCTATGTCTATGTCTATATATTTTCATCTCTCTATCTAGCTAGATTATTAGTCAAGTGGTCCACATAGGAAAATATGCTTTAGACAAGTGAAAGCTTTTTGAATCCTCTTGTAATTAGTGGTTAACTCATCATTCTTTCCCTTTCCTTTTCTTCTTCTCAGTTATTTTCTTAGCTGCTATTTTGAATCATTATCATTATTTGTATGAAGGCCCTTGAACCTCAGGCTGTTACAGATTCGTATTTTAATTTTTTTAGTAAACTTTTTATTGAAATAAAACATACATATAGAAAGTACATAAATCATAATTGTATAGCTCAGTGACATTTTCCAAACTAAAACACCCATGTGTCTACCACCCAGATCAAGAAATAGAGCCGAACCAGCACCCTAGAGTTTTCCTTGTACCCTATCCAGTCACTACCTCCAGGGTAACAATTTATGCTATATTTTTTTCGTTTTTAAAATCAGCTTTGAGTTATAGTTTACATACAATAAACTTCACTGATTTTAAGTATACAATTGATGAGTTTTGACAAATGTATATAGTTATTCACCAACCACCACAATCATGATATAGAATATTTTCATCACCCAAGAAAATTCCCTCTTCCCTCTTTGTCATCAATTTCCTCCCTTTATTGTTGGTTTCCGGCAACCACTGATAGGCATTCTGTCACTATAGTTTTGCTTTTTTCTAGAACTTCATATAAATGGAATTGTACAGAATGTACTATTTTCTGTCTGTTTTTTTTCCACTTAATGCTTTTGGGATTCTTTCAAGTTGTTGCATGTGTCAGAAGTTCCTTTATTGCCAAGTACTACTTCATTGTAGAGGCGTAACCAGAGTTATCTATTCACCAGTTGATGGGCATTTGGGTTGTTTCTAGTTGGGGGCCATTATAAACAAAGCTGCTATGAATATTCTTTTCCATTTTTTGGAGGGGGGATGAGCACATGTGTTTGTTTTCCCAGGAATGAGATTGCTGGGTCATATGGATAAGTTTCTATTTATCTTTTTGCCAAACTGTTCAACATGTGTGACCATTTTGCATTTCTGAAGCAATGTGTATGACTTCCAATTGCTTCATGTCTGTATCAACACTTGATATTGTCAGTCTTTAAATTTTATTTTAATTAAAAAATGTTTTTATTGATTTTAGAGAGAGAGGAAAAGAGAGAAAAACATCGATGAGAGAGAAACATCTATTGCCTGCCTCCTGCATGCCTCCCACTAGGGATCGAGCCCGCAAACTAGGCATGTGCCCTGACCGGGAATTGAACTGGTGACCTCTTGGTGCATGGGATGATGTTCAACCAACTGAGCCACATCGGCCAGGCAGTCTTTTAAATTTTAGACATTCTAATGGGTGTATATTTGTTGTGTTTTTCATTTATGTTTTTCTGATAATCAGTGATGTTGAGCATTTTATCATGTCTTAATTTTCTTTTGTAATCATCTCTATCAAATTATCCATTTTTAATTAGCTTGTCTTTTATTATTATTTCCCTGTCTGATTTGCCCTTTTATTTTATTAACTGTCTTTTGAAAAGCAAAATTTTAAAATTTTAATTAATTCCATTTTGGCAGTACTTTTATTTTTTGTATTGCTCTGTGTTCTACAAGATCTTTGCCTAACTCAAGGTCTTGAAACTGAAAAACCCCTACATAATTTCTTTTCAGTTGTGAAACAAGGCAACGAAAAGAATCAAGAAATTGTTATAAGCACAAACTCACTTCTCTCCAGTGTTTGATTGCCTGTAATTTTAACTAAAAATGTTTTTGTTTATTTGTATGTGCCCTGACTGGGGATTGAAGCTATAACCTGGGCGTATTGGGATAACACTCTAACCAATTGAACTACACATGCAGGGCTTAATTTTTGACAGTAGTGACTGTGTAGAAAATTTAACAACTGTTGTATATTAATCCCTTGACACCTGAAATATTTGATTTGGTTTTTAATGTTTAGCTGGTAGATTAATTTTTTTATACTTACAAATTTACTCTGTTATAAGGTAGCTCTGAAGAAATCTGCTGAGTAGTTTATTATTATAGATACCACTTATTATATAACATTTATATAAAAGAAGGTATAACAGTGTTTTATTATCTTGATCCATATAGTCTGAAAAGGATGAGTCATGTTAACTAGTGCCTGTTCAAAGAAAAAAGGTTGTATCTTTCCCAGTGCATCATTTTGGGAAGCATGTGAAGTCAACTTGTTTCCCTACTGGTGATGTTTACATTGATCTCTTGGTTAAGATGACAATTGCCAGGTTTCTCCACTGTACAGTTCCTCTTTTCCCCTTTGTTGTTAATGTATCTTGTGGGGAAGATACTTTGAGACAGTATAAATTGCCTCTTTCTCATCTTTAACCCACTAATGCTATTCTTTTTATTTTTCATTGAAAAAAATATATTATTTATTTCAGAGAGGAAGGGAGAATGAGAGAGAGATAGAGAGAGACATCAATGATGAGAGAGAATCATTGATTGGCTGCCTCCTGCATGTCCCACACTGGGAATCGAGGCCACAACCTGGGCATATGCCCTGACCTGGAATTGAACCATGACCTTCTGGTTGTTAGGTTGACACTCAACCACTGAACCATGCCGGCTGGGCTCTAATGCTATTCTTTTCAGTTGAAAATCTTTTTTTTTTCCCCTGTATCCAAAATGTGTTTATTTGGATAGTTCCCCGTTCATCTTGGTTTGAGGTACTTTCAGAGCTGCTTCCTTCTGAAGGAGCATCCTCTGTTAGCCTTGCTTTTCCTCCTGTAGGCTGATAGAGGACAGTGGAGCAACCAACACACAAATCTTCCATTTGTGCAGGGCTAAAGATGGTAGTGATTTTAGCATCCTGGGCATTTCACATCCATGAAGTAGGCATTGGGGCTCTACACCAGGTGCTTCTTCTTGTGTTTCTTTTTCTTCTCTTCTGGAGAGGGATGGAGATCCTTAGTGGAGGCATCCTGTCTTGGGGAGGTCATCACTACTAGAAAACTAGTTGAAAATCTTAATGTTCAGACCTCTTGTTCTGAAATTCTTTCTTTGGCTACAAGTATCATAAACTTGTAAGCAGGAGACCAAATATCCAACTTGTGGAAGTCCTGTATACATAGACATATGCAGAAACATATGCAGTATTGTTATCAAGATACACAGGTGCTAGAGCTATCATCCTTCCTCTCCACCATCTCCATTGCAGCCCTCTTATACCTCTGTTCCATCACACTTGTGCCTGATGCCTCATCTTTATTTTTGCAGAAGTAGAAAGACAGAAGGGAAGAGAAAAATGTTTATTTTGATCACAATGTGGGAAGAAATCTGTCTTCTCTCATTGCTAAGGTTGCGGTAGGAATCTTTCTAAAGATCTGAGAATTTTAGTTCTTTTTTTTACCCATAAAAATATTTCAGTGTAACAAATCATTTGTTTTGTATTTATAGGTTTAAAGGCTTCCTAGCTAGGAATTTAACCAGGGTTTATAAGATTTCTTTTAAAGGGAAAATGTGACCTTAGTTCCAAATAATGTATCTACAATTAAACATCTTTAACAGAGCTCTCATTCATAAGCTTGGGGTTGCTTGTCTATATAAATTGTACATATTTTTAGAAAGTAGCTTATTTAGTTACTAGAGGCCCAGTGCATGGATTTGTGCACCAGTGGGGTCCCTCGGCCTGGCCTGTGGGGATCAGCTGAAACTGGCTCTCCAGCATCCCCTGAGGGGTCATGGATTGCGAGAGGGCACAGGCCAGGCCCAGGGACCCCACCGGTGCAAGATCGGGGCCTTGGGGCCAGGGAGGGATGCAGGAGGTTGGCCAGCTGGGGGAGGGACCGTGGAAGGGCTCCAGGGCATGTCTGGCCCGCCTTGCTCAGTCCCCATCTGCCAGACCCCAGCAGCAAGCTAACCTACCGGTTAGAGTTCTGCCCCCTGGTGGTTAGTGCACGTCATAGTGACTGGTCGACTGTCTGCCCCCTGGTGGTCAGTGCACATCATAGTGAGCGGTTGAGCAGCCTTAGCATATCATTAGCATATTATGCTTTGATTGGTTGAACGGACGACCAATGACCGGACACATAGCATATTAGGCTTTTATTATATAGGATAGCAGCTATCACTTAGCAGACTAGTCTTTCGGCCTATAGTTATTAGTAATCATTTATCTCTCTGATTGTGCATGTGTGTGTTTGTGTGTATTTCTTAAATTTGAGGTAGGTAGTATAGGACTAGTGCAGCAGGTCCTTGAATAATGTTTTGTTTTAACATTGATGATGTAAACATTGTTTTAACATTGTTTACATCAATTAGCCTATGGTAAAATTGGTTTCATTATATGTTGTTTCACTTCAAGTCACAAAACTTATCAATGATATTAACTGAGGATTTACTGTACAGTGATTTTCAAACTTTAGCATGCAGCAGAGTCACTTGGAAGTCTTAGAACACAGATTGGTGGACCCCATCCTCAGTTTCTGATTCAGTAGGTCTGGGGTGGAACCTGAGAATTTTCATTTCTAACAAGTTTCCAGGTGATGCTGCTGCTGCTTATCAAAAGACCAAACTTTGAGAACTGTTGTTCTAGTTTATTAATTACTTTTGGTCTTTATTTTAATCTTAAAAGAGGGAGTGGCATACCTCTCAATATAAAATATTTGTATATGAATGGAAACATTTTGCTGTCTTTAAATTTTT